TTAGTCAAACAGGCGGGGAGACACACAGAGACATCGCCCAGGTAGACTCCAGCAGGACACCGTTTAGTCAAACTAGCGGGGAGACACACAGAGACATCGCCCAGTTAGACTCCGGCAGGCCACCGTTTAGTCAAACTAGCGGGGAGACACACAGAGACATCACCCAGGAAGACTCCGGCAGGCCACCGTTTAGTCAAACTAGCGGGGAGACACACAGAGACATCACCCAGGAAGACTCCGGCAGGCCACCGTTTAGTCAAACTAGCGGGGAGACACACAGAGACATCACCCAGCTAGACTCCGGCAGGCCACCGTTTAGTCAAACAGGCGGGGAGACACACAGAGACATCGCCCAGGTAGACTCCAGCAGGACACCGTTTAGTCAAACTAGTGGGGAGACACACAGAGACATCACCCAGGAAGACTCCGGCAGGCCACCGTTTAGTCAAACAGGCGGGGAGACACACAGAGACATCACCCATTAGTCAAACTAGTGGGGAGACACACAGAGACATCACCCAGGTAGACTCCAGCAGGACACCGTTTAGTCAAACAGGCGGGGAGACACACAGAGACGTCACCCAGGTAGACTCCGGCAGGACACCGTTTAGTCAAACTAGCGGGGAGACACACAGAGACATCACCCAGGTAGACTCCAGCAGGACACCGTTTAGTCAAACAGGCGGGGAGACACACAGAGACGTCACCCAGGTAGACTCCGGCAGGACACCGTTTAGTCAAACTAGCGGGGAGACACACAGAGACATCGCCCAGGAAGACTCCGGCAGGACACCGTTTAGTCAAACTAGCGGGGAGACACACAGAGACATCACCCAGGAAGACTCCGGCAGGCCACCGTTTAGTCAAACAGGCGGGGAGACACACAGAGACATCGCCCAGGAAGACTCCGGTAGGCCACCGTTTAGTCAAACTAGCGGGGAGACACACAGAGACATCACCCAGGAAGACTCCAGCAGGACACCGTTTAGTCAAACTAGCGGGGAGACACACAGAGACATCGCCCAGGGAGACTCCGGCAGGCCACCGTTTAGTCAAACAGGCGGGGAGACACACAGAGACATCACCCAGGAAGACTCCAGCAGGACACCGTTTAGTCAAACTAGCGGGGAGACACACAGAGACATCACCCAGGTAGACTCCAGCAGGACACCGTTTAGTCAAACTAGCGGGGAGACACACAGAGACATCGCCCAGGTAGACTCCAGCAGGCCACCGTTTAGTCAAACTAGCGGGGAGACACACAGAGACATCACCCAGGGAGACTCCGGCAGGACACCGTTTAGTCAAACTAGCGGGGAGACACACAGAGACATCGCCCAGGGAGACTCCGGCAGGCCACCGTTTAGTCAAACAGGCGGGGAGACACACAGAGACATCACCCAGGAAGACTCCGGCAGGCCACCGTTTAGTCAAACTAGCGGGGAGACACACAGAGACATCACCCAGGAAGACTCCGGCAGGACACCGTTTAGTCAAACTAGCGGGGAGACACACAGAGACATCGCCCAGGAAGACTCCAGCAGGACACCGTTTAGTCAAACTAGCGGGGAGACACACAGAGACATCACCCAGGTAGACTCCAGCAGGACACCGTTTAGTCAAACTAGCGGGGAGACACACAGAGACATCACCCAGGAAGACTCCAGCAGGACACCGGGCACAAGGCGGTGACATGATGGTGAGGTGGCGGTGAGCTGCTGGTGAGGTGGCGGTGAGGTGGTGGTGAGGTGGCGGTGAGGTGGCGGTGAGCTGGCGGTGAGCTGGTGGTGAGCTGGTGGTGGTGAGGTGGTGGGCGTGTGGTGGTGAGCTGGTGGTGAGGTGGTGGAGGTGAGGTGGTGGTGGTGGGCTAGTGGTGAGCTGGTGGTGAGCTGGTGGTGACGTGGTGGTGAGGTGGCGGTGAGGTGGTGGTGCGCTAGTGGTGAGGTGGTGGTGAGCTGGTGGAGGTGAGGTGGTGGTGAGCTGGTGGTGAGCTGGTGGAGGTGAGGTGGTGGTGAGCTGGTGGTGACGTGGCGGTGAGCTGGTGGTGAGCTGGTGGTGGTGAGCGTGTGTTGGAGGGAGCGTGTGTTGGAGGGAGCGTGTGTTGGAGGGAGCGTGTGTTGGAGGGAGCGTGTGTTGGAGGGAGCGTGTGTTGGTGGTGAGCGTGTGTTGGTTTTGAGCGTGTGTTGGAGGGAGCGTGTGTTGGAGGGAGCGTGTGTTGGAGGGAGCGTGTGTTGGTGGTGAGCGTGTGTTGGTGTGTTGGTGGTGAGCGTGTGTTGGAGGGA